ACGCAGGAGGGTTGGGGGGGGAAGAAGAAGAAGAAAAACAAAAAAAAATCAGAAGATCGCCGTCGCCGATCTTGACGAGCTCAAGCCCCTGCAACGCGGTGCACAAACCTCTCGACAGCAGCCCCCGGGCCAACCGAAAGCCCCCCGGGCTGGATAAGCAAGGCGCCCGCTTTAGGAGGAGGTCAGCTCGCCCAGGCGGCCCAGGCAGCGCTCCGGATGCGACGGGAAATCCAGCGCGGCCCCCTCGGCGATTGCCTCCACGGGGACGCTGGCACAGCGCTGAGGCGACGGCTAGGAAGGCCCCACTTGGGCCCAAGACGACTTCTGCGCCCTCTCCACGACCGCACCGTCGTAGCCCAGCCTGGCCGCCCTGAGGTAGCCCCCCAGTCCTTCTCAAGGATGTTGGCCCCCAGCGAAATGAAGCAATGCACCTTCTCAACTATGAGATGCACCGCTCTCGCCTGTGGGGCCGAAGATCGCGCGGCCAGTGGCCCTCCTATCGCGGGCGAGGCAGCGCCGCGCCCGCGGCGCAATGCGGTCAGCCCGAGGCAAGCGAGCCAAGTCCACGACCAGACTCCAGGAACCTCTAACATTCTTCAAAAAGCAAACGATTACCCCCCAAATGCTGGACGAACTCCTCCGCGGAGGTTGTCAACAGAGGGGTCGGCAAGAGGTATGCGTTGAAACCCTCGCTCGATATCGAATTGACCCAGCCCACGATATGCCTGGTCATCGCCTGGCCGAGGTCGAGCTGGCCATCCACGAGCGCCTGGTGAAGCATCACACCGAGGCCCCTCACGGCGCCGCCCCTCCACGGCAAGGCGCCGACTGAGGCGGGGGCCGCGTCGCCAGGCGCAGGCGCGCCACGGAAAGGGGGGCCCACTTGCCCCGGCGGCTTGCCCCAGGGGCCGCGTCCGCTACTTTTCCTCGTCCTTTTGGGCTCGCACCGCTCGCCCATGGTGGAAGAGCCTTGCCTTCTCCGCGACCCTTCGGGGCGGCTTCCCCCCAAAAGCCCCGCGCGCGCCCCCGTCGCGCCGGCGGCGCCGCGGAGGGAGGCTGCCCCTCGTTGGACGCGTCACGGGGCCACCTGTTCCAAGTGACCCGAGCTCCCTCTGGAGTTCGGCCGCTTCTGTCTCTCGGCGCAGGCGGGGTCGCGCTGGCTCGAGGCGGCGACGCGGTCGCAAACGGCGAGCTCTCTAGCGCTGCCGGCGGAGCTGGCGGTGGACCGGATGCACGCCTCAGGGCGGGTGGCCGTCCTCCACCATCGCTCCGGCCGAGCCCCTAGCCATCGCGACCCTTTGCCTTCGCCGCCAACTCCCTGAGCTTCCTCTCCTCCTTTTCCTGCTTGGCTGCGGCCTCCCTCTCGCGATCGGTGAGGCTCGAAACCGCGCTGCCCCCAATGCATTCGAAATGCTTGGCCAGTGCCAAGCCCTTCGCGTGCGAAGCCTCGACTGCCCGGAACCTCTGGGCCAGGATGTCGGCGGCTTCGGTAACCCCCCCCGCGAGAAGGCAGTCGAGGGTCTTGGCCAAAGTTTTGAGTCCCCTAGTCGAGCGGAGCCCCATGTCGCCCTTTGCCTGGAGCAGCACGGCGGTCAAATACGCGTCCGCGAGTGGCCGCAACCCGCGCCTGCCCTCGGCATCGCCCATGCGACCGAGGCAAGACTGAATCTTCCCAAGGAGCTCGGTGGGGAAGGCGCCCTGCTGCCGACGCGCGGCCTCGGCCGCGCGTTCTCTCGTCGACCGCCGGGCACTCGGGAAAACTGAGCCAAAGCTCGAGGATCTGGCGGAGCATCTGCGACTCCTAGAGCGGCGCCTCCTCCTTCTCCTCCTCCTCCTCCAGTCCCGGCTGCGGCCTCTCTCTCTCTCTCTGGTTCCTCGCTCGCTCCAGCGCCTTGCTCAGGAGCTCGGCGCCGACGTCCTTGCCCTCCTTGAGATCCTTGATCTTTGCCTTGAGCTCGGCGGCCACTGCGAGCCCCTCATCTTCGCGTAGGCCGCCGAGTCACGAGTCCGAATGGCAAGCCGAAGGGCTGCGGCCGGGCACCTTCGCCGCCACGGGCGTCCGCGGCCCGGCGCTCGCCGTCGTCGCCGCCTCCTGGACGCTGGCCAGCACGGCGCCGCGCGCCGGCAATCTTAGCACGGAGCTCCCCAACGCGCGCAGTGGCGCCGTCCCGTGCTGGGCGGTCGGCACCGCGCTCCTCCAGGCCAGCCCCCACGCGGTGCCCTCCTGCAGGATCGACGCCAGCGGGCCGGAGGCGGACCGCCGCTGGAAGAGCGGCAGGCGATTGCTCCACGGCATCGCCCTCGGGTAGCACTCTTAAGTCCTGCACGCGGAGGACAGGCCCTCAACGGGGCCCCGCGCAGCGGCACGAGGTGGCAGCCACGCGGCAAAAGTGAACCTAAGGCTGACCCTCCTTGTCGACCAGCTGCTGCATGGTGGTCTGCAGCGGGCTGGCGGCCGCCTTCACGAAACTAGCCTTGAAGAACGGCTCCAGGTCGCCGGAGGGGGGCGCCCAAAGCGGCCTCGCACGGCGGCCGCTCGACCTCACCCTGCGGCAAAATCACCTCCAAGCCGGCGGCCGCCTCGATCTGCTTGAGGAGCTCCTCGTGCGCCTCCTCTCCTGGGGCCAGCCAGCCCCACAGCGGCGAGGGAGCCCTCGCCGTCCGCAGGGGCCCTCCTCCCACGCGGGGCCTGGCGAGCAGGCCTGGCCCGAGGCGCGGCTGCGGGCCTCCGAGCCACCTTCTTAATTACGCGCCGGAGCCGCCGCCGCTGCTGCCGGCCGCCGCTTGGGAGGCATGCTGCTGGGCCTCGTACGCGTCCTCGAGCAGGCGCGCAAGCCCCGTGACTGCCTCGATCGTGGCACGCAGCTCGGGCGCTGGGAGCGCCCGAAACTGCCGCCACAGCCCCAGCGCCCACGCCTGCAGGCGCGAGAAAAGGGGCAAGCTGGGAGCGGCCCTCCTCTCGAGGCCGCTTCCGCTCGCGGGCGCCATGCAGGGCCCCTCGGGCGAGCGGGAGAGGGGAGGCGGTACTGCGCTCACCCTGGGGAGGCGATTCCGCGCTCACCCCTTCACAATACCAAACTGCTGAGCAAGGGAGGCGATACCACGCCCACCCTGCTCACAATCGAACCAAGAGTGTTTTCTGGAGGCGCCGGGGCGGGTCGGCGCACAATCTTTCGGGGGCGATGCTACAATTGGGCTGTGTCATCGGCTTGGCGGCTACGTGGCCGCCGTCGCCGCCCCGTCGCCGCCTCGTCGCCGCCCGTCGTCTGGGCCGTGTTTTCGGTCTGGCGGGTGCGTGGCCGCCGTCGCCGCCCCGTCGCCGCCTCGTCGCCGCCCGTTGTCTGGGTCGGTGTGGCGGTCTGGCGGCTACATTGTCGCCGTCGTCGCCCCGTCGCCGTCGCTGCCCCATCGCTGCCGCGTCGCTGCCTCAAAAATGACCAGACAAATTACTTACAACGCAAACATTACACCACAAAAATTGCACCGCATAGAGTGTCCGTTGTGTAAGCGAAAACAAAAATCCTTCAACAACGGTAGGTTCCGATTCGAAATCGAATGTCCCGGACCCGTTTATTAAACCTTATATGTTTAAAGCGTATACGGTTCAAACTGTGTTGCAGCACGACATTTCCCCCCACACACACACACACACACACACACACACACACACACACACACACACACACACAAACAAACAAACAAACAAACAAAAAAAAGCGCGCCCTTTCAATCCTTACGAAAACCATCGTTTTTACACCACGTTTATCAAATTCGACCAAGCGGGTTTTCGCACGCGCAGGTCAAAATCGTTCGAACGCCCTTGCACGCGTGCTGGGGGGCACGATCCCTGTCACATAAAACCATACTGGCCACTCGCGCAGTTCGCCGCGCGCATGCCGAAATCTTTCCTGATCTTTCATCACAGACGCGAAGGCACCATCACCGTCATCGGCGTGATCAGCATCGGCGCCGTCATTGGCCTTTCTGTCGTCATCGTTATCGTCGTCACCATCATAACTAGCACCATCATCATGTCTACCGTTGCCGACGTCGCCATGATACCGCGCCCGCCCAAATCACCGACTCACACCGAAATGCCCGCGCGTCAGCGTTGATTGCAAGGCGCGCTGAAAAGCGCCCTGCAATCAGAGCCAACGCGGCCGCGTCGGCCGCGCCAAACTAGCCGGCCGCTGTGCGCGCGAGCGCGCGCGGGTTAGCGCGGTCGCACATGCACAAGCCAGCACGAAGCGCTCACCGCAATCGTCGCCGCATTGGCCTTGCAAACCAGGTTGCGGGTGGGTGGGTGGGATGATAGCAGGCGCAATGGACAAACCACTGCGAACAGAAATTAATTGCACCACAAGTGTTGTACCACTGTACCACTTAGACTGTACCACATAGCTTGCGCAATATGATTTTGACCGCAAGGATCGCACCACATGGATTACACAACATCTAAACTGCACCACATAGAGCGCAAACCATAGATTGCACCACATACTCCGGCGGGGCGAAACTTTAGGCCCATTTGACTTTCCGAGTGGATTTGCCTCGCGCTGGCGCGGAAGAATTTTCCATGCGTTAAAAAAATAAGCGGAAGACTTAATCCCCTGAAATATACAGTGACTACTAATTAATCTCTTTGGGAGACTTGTTTCTTCCGTCGCGGCTGCGCCATTGCTGCGCTTTGTCTTGGTGTAGGAGTCTACAGGATTGGGGGGCCATCGAAAGTCTTTCGACGCTCTCGCCTTCCTTCGCCGCGGCAAGATACATGGGCAAAACTATTGTCACGGCGGTGTAGTGCGCAACATAAGTTGCACCGTATATATTGCACTACATCCATGCGCACCATAGTTTGTATAACATAGATTGCACCACCTTATCATATTTGACACCACAGGCTGTTGAAACAGAACGGTTGGGGCCCACGCTGGCTAATGTGGTTTATTACTCGTCTGCTTCTTACTTCTGTATAGCTATGATTGTTATCATTCGGAGTCCTCCCCAGTCGACAGGGTGCCAAGCGGGATGGTATTGACAGAGCCGAGGGACATCGACAGCCCGGTGAACTCAGGCCCGAAGTCGACGCCCAGGGAGCGCCTCCGATCCACGAGCTCGGGCAGCCTGGCCTTGGGCCGATCGGCTCCCTGGCTCGACGGGTCGCGGTCCTCGATGCCCAGCGCGTACCTGGTGTAATCGGTCCATCCTTCGGCTCCCTCTTTCTGCCAGTGCGGCGTCTTCAGCTCCGCTTCTACTCTCGCACCCATGGCCGTCAGCGGCTGCCTGCCGTGACCACCGCCGTGCCGCGGCGCCACGAAGCCCGCCCCGGTGGCGTCGGAAGCCTGGCCCGTGTGCCACGGCTGCAGCGTGCACACGGCCCACAGCGCGGGCAGCACGGCCAGCGCCGCCCGCGAGGGCCCCGCCACCTGCCCAGCCCGCCGCCAGCCGTGGCATCCTGCCGTGGCGCCGAGGCCCCGCCGAGAAGCACAGGCTGCAGTCCGGGCTGGCGGCCCCGCGGCAGCGCCGCTGGTGGCCGCCATTTTGCCGGCCGACGCCCCGCTCTGCGACTGCGAGGACGTCTGCTGGCGCGGCGCTGGAACCAGGACGGCTGCGAAAGCCCCCTGGGAACGACCAGCATTCGGGGAGACGTAAGACTCGGGTACGGGGGACGCGGGTTGGCCTGACGGGGCCCATCATAAAAATGACGAGACGCAGTCTTAAATTTGACGCGAGCTCCCACCGCAGACATCCCACGAAAACTGGACCGTCAAAATCCGGGACGCGCTGGTCAAAAAGCGTCGGCACACCCGAGTTCCGGCTTACCCGAGTCTTACGTTCCCCCGAAACATAATTCCAGTGCGCATGCGCACTGACGACCGCCCCGGGGGGGGGGCCTCTGAGATCGTCCTCGCACAAGACCGACGAGCCACAATTGGGGGGGGCTGTGTCCCTTACCCGCGGGGGGAAGTTAGGGGGGGGGACCGGCTCAGATGGGGAAACATCGAGCTGGACTCTGCGGTGCATCGCCGATAGCTCGGCGATAGGCCCCCGATAGCAAATCCACACGCTCCCTGACGGGGTGGGGCTATCGGCCCCCCTACCGGCGATCAAGGGGCGATCAGGGGTCGATGCCTCCCTCCCTGAGCCTATCCCCCTCACGTTGCCTATGGTTACCCCCGTGGGGCAACCCATCGCATCGACGGTCTCTTGAGAGGGGTGTCGAAGCCGGTGGGCGCCGCAGGGGGGCAAGGACTACAGCTCCCCCGGCTGTGGCCGGTCTGCCTCGCACTCGGGGCGCATGCCGTCCCGCTCGACAGCCTCCCTGCCAGGGGCCCGGAGAGGAGGAGAAAACCCGGCACGAGCGCGAACTGCGGAGGTTCGCGCCGACCACTGGCATCGGCGCTGGACCCCCCCCCTCCTTGGTGCGCGGAGCGCGCCAGCGCCGATCCAAGAGATCCACGCGGGAGGGGCTCGAAGTATACTCCAGATTTCGTAATAAAGGGCGGGGGGTCTCATTTCGGGGGGGGGGTCTCATCCAGGCTATCTTGGAGGGCCTGGGGGGGTCTGGGGACGATGTTTTGGAGGGTTCTCCCAGGGGGGAGGTCTGAAATGGCTTGTCTTGGAGGGTCCAGACCCCCTCCCTTGTATTACGAAATCTGGAGTACCCCAAGCGGCCTGGGTTGTCGAAGCAGGGACCGCAGCTCCCCCCGCTGTGGCTGGTCTGCAGGGGCGACGCCTCAAAGGGCCTCGCTGGTGGGGCCCCAGCGGGGCCCCCAAACCGTGTGGTGACGGACCTCGCGGTGACCTCGGAGCCCCGGTCACCGCAAGGTTTTGGAGCCCCGTCGCCGACACGTGCTCGGAGAAGGACGCGAGTCCCGAAACCGCGCGTAAGCCCGAGATCCCCACGGACTCGCCACGCGGCGTGGTCACCGCACCGGCTGGGGGCTCCCGATGCCTGGCGAGATCCTGCTGGCAACCCCGGAGCCGCCAGGGGGGGGGGGAGGATCAGCCGAGCCTCGCTCCGCAAAATCGTTTTTTATACCGCACCATCCCGGCCCCAGTCAGATTCCACCGCCCGGGGCCACGTTCAGCATACAGAAGCCACGGGAGGGAATTTTGCATTCCAGACCCAGGACCAGGACCCTCGCTCGCCCCCTGGAGTTTTTGGGTGTAGCATGCCATTTTTTTCGGCGGACTTGTGGGAGTTGTCGGCAGCCCCAGGCCGCCCCTCTGCCCAAGACGCAGGAACGCCCACCGAGCTCCTGGCCCGTTGGGCCCTCGGGGGCGTCGCCTGCTCGATGATCCTGAGAGCGTGCGTCCTGCTCAAGAGCGGTGAACATGTCCGTATCCGCGCCCTTGCGATCTGGACTCCAGGGCGCGATCCCGCGGATTCGCGGGCGCACAGATACGCTCCCCGCGGGGCATCCACGAAAAAACGATCCATAGTCGCGGGGGCGCAGCCCAGGGGCCCGCGAGGCCGCGGATACGGGTATGTTTTCGCCCACGACACGTGTGCTTGCTCACCGAAAAAAACCCGCACACCGACGCAGGCGACGTGGCCAGAGCCCAGCTCCGGCCGCGTGCCAGCCGGCGAGGAGCTGAGAGGGGCAAGGGCACGCTAGGCTGGCACACGTTCTCGGGGATCGTCGAGCGCTCTTTCCTCCCTCCCTCCTCCTCCTCCTCTCCTCTTCCTCCTCCTCCTCCTCCCTCCTCTCTCATCCATCATCATCATCATCATCCATCATCATCATCATCATCATCATCATCATCATCATCATCATCATCATCATCATCATCATCATCATCATCATCATCATCATCATCATCATCATCATCATCATCATCATCATCATCATCATCATCACCATCGTCATCACCCTCCGTTCTCTCCTGCCATCGGAGCAAGGCGACTTGAGACAACGGCAACTCCAAATCGTTCCCCGGACCCCTCCCAGGGTCCAAACGCCTAGTCTTTCCGCGGTGCGCCCAACCACGGCGACGACGGGGACCCCCGAAGGCCGAGTACCGTTGTTTCCACTCGTCCTGCTCTGGTGCCAATCTCCACGTCAGCGGGATCACCGATCCAGGGTCGGGCGGGGTCCATCAGGCGCTGCCGCACCCGGAAGTCCCGCGAGAACCTCAGAGGGGGGCGGGGGGGGGGGGGCGGGGGGGGGAGGAGGGGGAGGAGGAGGAGGAGGAGGAGGAGGAGGAGGAGGAGGGAGGAGGAGGAGGAGGAGGAGGAGGAGGGGCAGGAGGAGGAGGAGGAGGAGGAGAAGGAGGAGGAGGAGGAGCAGGAGGAGCAGGAGGGAGGGGGAGGAGGGAGGGGGTAGCATCGATCGAGCTCTCGGGCCGATTCGGTGCTACGCTCGCTCTGGGCTCTGCGCTGCTTTACAAAATCTGGTGGCCTAGCTGTGATGTCCTTGCTGAAAGGGGGTCGCAAGCGCCAATCGACGCTCGGGCCTTACCTGCACCGACCTCCCCCACGCAGGGGGTCGCGGGCAGGGTAGCACCCGCTTTTACGGGTGCCCTCTCGCTCGCTCCTCTTCCCCCCTGCTCGGTCCTCCCCTCCCCCCACCCTTCCTCTTCGGTTGGTGGGGGGGAGGTCGGTGCACTACATAATACTCAGGGAAGCTCTGGCCTCGGAGTTGGTCAAGGTCAGGAGTCTCGGTCGACGGAAGAGAAGTGGGGAGGCGGCCTTCCCTGACTAGCATTCTGAAACGCTCACTAGTTCTGAAGGCCTGCGGGATCGCACGGGCTGCATCGGCCCTCGAAGCTGGACTGAGCTGGACTGTTTTCTCGTGGCCGCCGGCCTCATGCTCACTGCGGCAAATTGCCTGGGACGTCTCACGGTGAACTGCGCCCTGAGATGTGTCTCGCGCCTATGCAACTGGCCGTTGATCAGGCGGCCCAGCTCGCGCTCCAGCGCTCCCCTCGGCGCCGATTCCGTCTTGCGAATGGTTCCCTCCTTGCGCAGCTGGCGCATGAGAATCGTCTCGAGTTGGTGCAGCGTGGTCTTTACCGAGAACTGGAATCGGCATCGCGCCTGAGCTCCTCCATTTTTGCCCTTGTCCTTGCGCGCCCTGAAAACTGGAATACCGTCCGCCACCGCCTCCGCGCTGCCAGATAAACTTGTGTCCTGGCAGTACTTATCCAGGCGCTCGCGTTCTGGCCATTCGTCGAGGGCCCGTCCTATGTTGTCCGCTACCTCCGTCCAGACGCGGATGCGCGGGCTGCCCAGCAACACCGTGTCCACCTGCTCGCCCGCGCCCGCGCGGCGTCGTAGTTCCTGTGCCTGCTCGTTGTACGCCTGTCATGCTGCCAGCGCTGCCTTGGCGACGCCGCTGTTCGTGTCGATCTCCCACGTCTGCATCACCGCCGCCGTTAACTCTGCTCCTCGTCCTCGTCCTCGTCATCCGGGTTGACAGCCGCAAGCGGCCCCCGGGACCGGTCGGTAGTCTATGAACAACCTGGGGAAACGCAAGGAGGGGCGCGGAAAGGGGAGACCCGGAGCCCATAACCACGAGTCTAGCATCACTCTGCGACACCCACCATGGAAGTTCTCAAAAACAAACAAACAAACAAAAAAAAAAAAAATGGCCCCAAGAAAGTGGCCGCACCAGCGGTGGCCCCACGTCTGCATCACCGCCGCCGTTAACTCTGCCTGCTCCCTGGCCAACGTGAGCGCAAGGCGCGCCGTGAGGCCCACCACCTGCGCGAGCTGGGCGCCGCGCCTCCTGCTGGCCCAGCGGGTGCTCCTCCGAGCGGGCGTCGCGGTTGGCGGCTGCGGGGAGGGGGGAGGAGGTGGTGGAGGAGGAGGAGGAGGAGGAGGAAGTCGAGGGGGGGAGGAGGAGGAGGAGGAGGAGGAGGAGAAGGAGGAGGAGGAGGAGGAGGAGGAGTAGGAGGAGGAGGGGGGGGCGCGGGCGCCGCAGTGGCTCGCACCCCCTGCGGCACCTGCACGGGCCCCGCGCGCTCGCCCCCTGGTGGAACTGAGCGGGAGGTACGGTTGTTCCTGTTTTTGTGACTCCCTTTGCCCTCTCTTGGCCTTGACCTGAGGCCCCTCCTTCTGCCTTCCCCCCTCTGTTCATGAAAGCTGTGCTCGGCCCGCTTAGCTTCGACCGGAAGATGTGCGCTCTCGACCCGCGAATCAAACAAAGTTTTTGTGACTCCAGCCTTCACACGCAGGAAACCGTCCACCAACACAGGAAGCGCACGCAACGTGCTCCGATCTCTCCATGCCAAAATCTTGGGGTACGCAGACACGGCGGCTCCGCATTATCGTGCTTTAGAGTCGTGATGCGCAACGGCGTGCTGCACAAACTCGGACGCTCAGTTGTATTTGCTGTGTTTGTACTTCGATGCTGACATGAAGCGGTGCCAACGTCTGAGAGGTTGCTGTGAAGTCGGCAGGCTGTCCTGCCGCAGGAGGTCCGCGGGTATGCTGGTCGTCTTGCACATGGTTTCGTGCACAAGTCTTCGGGCTTCCTGTTTGGACGAGCCGTGCCGAGCGTGACCATCCCTGCTCGACTCAACGATGCGGCAG